TGCATCAATGTGGAAAAAATTAATATAGATCTATAGGCTACATAATTTGAAGAATTAAATGTGTAATCATCATGAAAATAACATATGTTGAAAGCATATAAGAATCACAAACAAAAATCACAAATCATCCTGTTAATCGTCGATTGCCTCGAGCAGGCCCCAGTAACGTCTCCTTCATCCTAGTCCTGAGATTATATTCAAGGCTCTTTAGGAGAATGAGACCCATCATTGTTACTGGTATATGGCATATTGGGTACTCCACGGGGAGTTTGCCAGACTCTGCCGTGTGGGCAGGCTACATTCGGTAGCCTGACAGTTTGTCCAAAGTAGGAATGAGACAATAAGATGTCATAATAGGATGTCCTCCTATTATAACGTCTATAAGAATAGACATTAAATAATGAGCAGTTTGCCCCTTGTATACTTAAAAAATAAAATATTTTGTTTCATTAATACCGTTGGTGCTAAGCCAGGGCATTAGGACGAGCCTCTGAATGCTGCCTTCTAAGCAGGAAGTAGAACCAAGGCCCCACTTTTACATTAAGTTCACAAGCTAAACTTGTGAGTCTGGATAATCTGGAGAAGTATGCTTTTATACAGCTGCCTGGTTCTACATTATCTTGGCAGTACAAAGTAGCAGTTTGGTAGCAGCAGTTTTGTACCCTTATACATTCTTAATCTGGCTTGACCTCCAAGTATATCAGTATGAGCCTTCTATTTGCCCTATGTGTAACCAACCACAAGAATGTGGGAGACACGATTTGTTGAACTTACATGTCCAGCTCCGTATCTTCTTTTGGCGTTTTAATTATAAAAACATAGCTTTGACAAGACAATGTATACCCCGATGTTCTTCTGGAGAATACTCATCCTATAACTGTGTGTACTCTCCTTAGTGAGTCTTTCTTTGTAGTGAAATCATTGGGATGTAACTGATAAAAAGAATAAAAGTAGGCCTGTGGCAGTCACTCTTTGCCTCGAGTCAGACTGATGCGTTGGCCCTTTGTGCTCTCTACATTCCTCTCATGTGTCTTGTCTCTGCACCTCTGACAGAAAGAATATTCATGCAACAAATACTATTTTTAAATTAAATATACGCAGCAATATATAGACCTTTCTGTGTTTGAATCAATTATTTTTGGTTAAACATGCATTTGAAATAGAAAATATATATAAATGCTTTCATGATTTGGGAGAAATTAAAAACCATGAATGAAAACAAGTTAATAAGATTCAAGATGTAAAACATTTCAGAACTAAATTTTAACACTTTTTCAAATTATGGATAAATTTCTTGGTCTGTGACTTATGCACATGTAGATTCCATTGATTGTGACAATTTTGATTTTCAACTGTGGATATTAGAAATAGATTCACACCACTAACAAATGTAACGCAATCAGCAATTATCCTAATCTTTGTCACTGTCAGTCAAATTCAAATACAAAAAAGACATATTTGCCTTTGTATTGAAAGTGAAGATGGATGAAACTGTTTTGACTTGACTGATTATATATTTAGATGAAAAGTAGATGAACACTTTAATGATGTGCATTAAGATGATCATGTATGATTTACATTTTGTTTCAAACTTTTTGAAATAGGGAACACAAATGTTTGTTGAATATGTTTATTTTCTAAGCACCTGGTTGATAGCTTCACAAAACATCATCCTATTGATTTAAACATGAGAAACACCATAAAAGTGCTAGGACTGTGGAATTAAATATTAGGCTTTCACTTTATTTCTCTTCATCCCTTCTGGCTCTATATTTTTTCTGCCTAATAAGCACCATCTTAGTCACATTTATTTTCCTACTTTCTTTCTCCAAAATTAGTGTTGTTCCCTTCTGGATGGAAAAGCCATTGACAGTCATTTTTGTAGCAAGCTTCTTGGCAGGCAGTAGGGTACCCTGAGCCCTGAACTGTTCTCAGAGGCAGCTTTAATTGACCAAGGTCTGATATTGTAGCATGTCCCCTACAGCTCATTCTTTAAAGAATATACATTAATGAGTCATCTGAGAAATAGTTTATAAAGTAGATGAAGATACCAGCAAAAAATATCTTAGCAATTAAAACGTCATGTCTTATTCCTAGTGTCTCTTACATATTTAGCAGGTCATGCAAAAGGAACACAATGCAATTTGAAAAAAAATCAAGCATGTTTAAGTTTGCAATTATGTTGTTAGTATAATTAGGTCCAAGAACAATTTGGAAAATGCTAACATAATTAAAATTAGAGAGGGAGAGAGCGGTCTCTCCCTCTATTATTTGAATGCTGGACTTTGCCATTGGGTTGACACAGTTTTGGTAATAGATCTTCATCTTTAAAATTTTTTTTGGCAGCAGAATTAGGAATCTGATCAAAGTTCTGTTTTCATTTATAAACAGTATTTCAAACAGCTTGGGAATGTATGGAGGGATAGAAACTGAAAGATCTACCTGGATATTATTAATATAACCTGAGGGAGAGTTGAACACATTAACTTAAATGATAGGGCAAGGGATTATAGGAAATAATGGTTAAAGGAAATTGTAGAACTGACAGGATTTGTGACAACTTGGGGAAGTCAAAGTGATAGCCGGGTTCAACCTGGACTGGATATGGGAGGAATCACTAAGATCAGGAAAAAATGAGTTGGGATGCTTCAGCAAGTTAACACAGGAAACAATAGAATTATATTTTTGTAGGCTGAACTTGGTATCAGTGATTTATTTTTTCACAAAGTATTTATTTAGTACATATTATCTATCACATACAATAATCATTGCAGGATATATTGAAGAACTAACAACCATAATTTCATGACTTCTGTCATCTAACATGCTAACAAAAATTATTTAAGAAATCCAGTGCACAAATGAATCAGGTATTTTTAAAGAATGACATTATATATAAAATACAAACTAATGTAGAGAAGAGTAAACATGGAAGATAGTAGATTGTATAGGAATTCTATCTTTGGAGTAATCACTTTTCCTAAGCACCAATAATTGCATCTAAGTGATAAAAAGATAATAAAATATAAGAACAGGCATTCAAAAGGAGACTTTTCACCCCTATGTTCACAGCTGTACTATACATAATAGCTTAAACATGGAATGAAAGTAAATGCCTATTGATAGATGTCTGTGTAAATATATGTTCATATCTATGAAGTAAGTTGCAAAAGTAAATGAACTGACAGGAACAAAATAGAATGATCTCTGAGACTCAATGACTATTCTGTTGGTTTCCAGAAGGAAAGGGGAGAAGGAGTAGGAGAAATGAGCAGAGGGGACGTTCTGGGGTGGGAGGGCACTGGAATGTGGGTGGCAGGAGTGATGAAATTACACACATAAGAAGCTAACATGGAAAGCAATTTATTTTTTCAATCTCTCAACTGCCTGTTTCTGGCCTTCTAAAAAAATTAAAGGGGAACACTATCACTGATCTAGGAAATTCCATTAAATTTCTGATACAGGTTTAGAGAGATCCTAGCTTGGCAGGTCTCAGGCCAGTTAAAACATCACTGTCTACCTAACCTGGAGTATGCTGTCTACAATAACTACTTCCAAAGCTATTTCAAAACTTCAAGTACGATATTTGCCCCTTAAACTCCAGACTTAAGAATTTGTTTTTCTTATTTGGACATGTAAAATGTGTTCCAGGGAGGGGCAAGAGGAATTAGGTAATAATGTTCTAAGCTACAATTCTTGAAACACTCATTTTGTAATCAGAAAGCAAAAATATATCTAATTAATGTATATTTTTATTACATGCATCCTCTAAGTGTTTATATATAAAGTTTGTACTAGTGCAGACAAATCAACATACTTTATCAGTTTAGATTTAAAAAATGTGAGTTTTACAATCTTTCTAAGATACATGTGACATAACAGTATTCTCAGTACATTTTTCTCTATGAAATTACCTAAGATAAACAACATTTTGGAATCGATTTTTTTTTGCTTTTTGGGTTACACCCGGCGATGCACAGGGGTTACTCCTGGCTCTTCACTCAGGAATTACTCCTGGCGGTGCTTGGGGACCATATGGGATGCTGGGAATTGAACCCAGATCGGCTGCATGCAAGGCAAAATGCCCTGCTCACTATGCTATCACTCCAGCTCCCCTTTTGGAATCAATTAATCAAAAAAGACATTTTAGTATGATGTATTTATGTACTTTACAAGACTTTAATAGAAGTTATGAAATATATGTATATATTTAATTTAACTTAATTTAGAAACTATAATTTAATAACAGAAGGTTATGAGCTATTTGAATTCTTGCTGGGTACATTAAAGTGACCCTCACAAATAGATTTCTTAGTCTATTGGTTCAAATCCAAAAATTGGAGTAAATGGAGGTGAAACAAAAAATTTAAAAATTCTTTCCTTTAAGGATAAAAGCCACAGAAACACAATATTTTCTATATAACAATAGCACTAATACTTTAACATTATTCAGTATAAATGAGATATTAATTCACTTTTGAAAATATATACAATCCCTTAGCTAGCTAGGATTGAACATACTTTTTTTAAATAGCAGAAGGCAACAATAAGCACTATGAGTGAGTGCCATACTCAATAAATTTTAAAATAAAATAGCTTTTAAAGTCTAATCTGGAAGTTCCCATGCACAATTAACTTGATAGTCCTAAAAGAATGTACCTTCAGAAACGGTCAATAGTTGAAACAAATAAGAGAAATGTTATTTATAAATGCTCAGGTAGCCTAAAATGGCTTGAACTTATTATGTTATGGGAAATATGCAGGACTTAGAGTAGTGCTATTAAGGATCAATGCAAATTTTGAGAGATAATATTGAGAGATAACATTCATTACCAGCAGTGAAAAGGCATCTTTCTTAGAAGGAAAACTTTCCCCTTGATTGTTATCAAAGCTAAAGCCTTGATGGTACAGGGATTTTGTATAAATATAACTTACAAGTTTTTTATATAGTAAAAGAAGCTTCAATATAGAATTTCCAAATGCAAAATGCATAGACTTACTGGTACATGCCATAGAAGGTGGATCTTTTTCAGCTCTGAAGTAACCCTTTTCACACTGACAGATAGAAGTTGCTTCCATGTATGTTAAACTGTGTGGCGGGCATTTAGAACATTTTGTATTCCCAGCAAATGCTTTGTAAAATCCTGGTCTACAAGCTGTGAAAAACAAACAAAAAACATTTGTTGCTGTTATTATTGTTGAAGTTATTTTATTATGCATAATATTTTAATGTGCATACATTTATAAATATAAAAATTTAGTGTGAAACACAAAAATATTTTTAATATTTTAACATTAATGAGTAATTAAATATTTTATTTAAAATTATTACGGCAGTGACATCATATTTATATAGTGTTGCTAATTTGGAAAAGTGTACCTCTAATATGAAATTCAAAACATTTCTGAGTCATGTGAGGCTGGAAACTAAAACCATGATGTCAAGAATTATTGAGGGTTTGGACTCCAGAAGCAACTAGACATAACCAGATGTCTACCTGTGAAAGGAGCTTAAACAAAACTGTCCACCTAGGATTGAATACCAACCAATAGTTGTTCAACTAGCTATTGTTGATTTGCATGTTACTGGACTAATAAAAAATCAACTGACTTCTTGTCAAGTTTGCACAGTAGGCCAGTCAATCTAACTTGATTGCTTCTAATAGTTTGCAGAGCTGAGTAGAGTGAGAACCATCTCATATTTCTATGAAGATATAAAGCCCTATTCTGTTTAGGCAATTTGGAACAGTATTCAGAGACTTCTATTTTGTTTTTTTGTTGTTTTACTTGGGGCCACAATCTATGATGCTCAGGGGTTACTCCTACCTGAGAATCACTACTGGTGGTGCTGGGGTACTAAATGGGATGCCAGGGATCAAACACTGGTCAGCTGCATGCAAGACAAGTGCAATACCCACTGTCTATTGCTCTGGTCCCCAGAGGCTTCTTGAATCACATCTTAGGACTTCAATTTTAATAAAACACTTAAAATACACATTCACTTAGCAACTCAGCAAAATAAGCACTAGCTGAGGAATGTTCATAACTAAATAAATTTTTAAGGGAACTGGCATCAAATAACACTAAATTTTACTCTTTCAAAATTTCTAATTCCTTTGTGAGTTCTTCTGAAATTCCCCATCCTCCCGCATTTATTAATCTAGAGTTCTGAATAGTAGGGAATTATTTTATTTTGATCACAAAAAATTCACTGTTTGCCGCTTTTTAAAACTATGTTACTCAATATTAAGGTAGAGAACTTTTCCAGGAAATACTTCAAAAATATTTTAACAAAGTAGTTATGTTATTTGCTTATTTTGTTTTTGGGGGGGTCACACCAGGATGAGCTCCATGCTTACTCCTGGATTTGTGCACAGAAATAATTCCTGGCTATGCTAGAGGGACCATATATGGTGATAAGGAATGAACTTACATCAGCCATATAAGAGTCAAGTGCCCAACTAGCTGGACTCTGTGTTCAGCTCTAATGTATTTATTTGAACGTATTTTTCACAAAATGATTTACTGAAAATACACACAAACCTAATGAAATAACACAACTCTAAGTAACATTTTTGCTAAAATATTCAAGAAAAAAGACAAAATATGCAAAATCAATTTAATTTTCTTTAAGTAAATTTAATTCCTACTTAATTTTGTCAAAGTAAAATAATTTTTCTTTACCTATGTATCATTAACTCTTACTCCCTAATAGAGATAAACTATGGGAGTAATTACAGATGCACAAATATGCAGGAAAATATATACTATAACTGCCTAATATTTTGACAACCTGTTTGTTTTTATAATATTTCTATAAATGAAAGTAATTCAAGAGAAATAAATGTATAAATTCTATACAATATTAGCAACATAATTACTATTAAACATTTGATCATTCTATATATTTGAAAGTGTGAGTGATGATATAAAACTATCAACAGTGGTCTTCTCTGGCTTTCTGAAAATTTAACATTCCAATATAACTAACCAATACAAGTCTACATATTTTCTAAATCTGTCAGAATTCATAGTATTTATTAATCAAACCCATATAATTTTCATAAATACTTTAAAAATATTTCATTGACATTTAATATGCTAGTAGATACGACAAGTATCATAAAACATCACTTTCTATTTGTTCACTTTAAAACAGCAATACATTTTATATGATATGCTTGCAATACCTGTTAAAAATTAAAAAGATTAAATTTAGTTAGAAACAAATATTTTGTTACAATATTAGAAATCTAGTGATCTAGTCCACTTATAGAGAATGTGCAAATGTGGGGACCTGACATTCTTAACATTCCACTCTTATTCTAAATAAAATTTAAATATAATGATCATCATTTAAATTACTTTCTAAAATAAAACTATTTAAAATTAATGGGATCTAGAGATAGTACACTGGTTACAGTGTATGCCTTGCATGAAGCTGACCCTTGTTTGACCCCAGCATCACAGGGTCACTTCAAACCTGCGAAATGCGCCCCCCAACTTCACCAGAGGACCTGTAGGTCTCCTGAATACCAATTGGAAGATAGCCCCAAACTTTATTATTAATGATTATGCTATAGGAACACACCAAAATTTTATCATATGTATGTAACTTAAACTTATGACACATAAACAAGAGCTAAAATATTCTTTTCTGTTATTATCTAATCAAATCTCAGCTATCAATATTGCTTATACATAAAAATACAGAAAGTTTATAACAATTTTTGCACAACATTCTAATCTTTCCTTTTGTAACTTAAACAAATATTTAATTTCTCATATGAAGTATTTGCAGCTAATTTGTAATCTTTTTAGTATCTCATTGGAATGAGAACAGTTCTTAAAATACTAGAAAGTTGAGTGATAGTGAAACTTTTAAAAGAACAGTCTGATAACTTGTTCCTTAGCATCTATTCTTATCCACTTTAATCTGTTCCATAGAGAGTTCTAAAATTGCTCTGTCAATGGTATAAGTGAGCTTAATATAGTCATAGCTTAAGTTTCTGTAATAGTCACAATAAAAATTGAGAAGAAACAGACACCTGAAATTAATATTAACAATATTAACAATATTTATTGAATTAGTCCAATAATGTTAAAATTACCATTTCAACATACAATAGAGTTTCTGAAGTATTTTACATTATTTAAGTTTTGTTTAGTAATTTTGTTCTAAGTGCTTAAAATTAGATAAGAAGTTTACACTTGGGGCATATCCTATTTGTAAGTAGATGTACTCAAGAACCCAATAAACTCAGGTGCTAGAGACAACCATATCAGATAGTGCATTTTTGTGTACAGAGATCTAATCATTACAACACCCGCTGCAAAAAAAACCTTTTGAAGTGTTTTCATTGTCTCTGTGTTAAAGTTTTAGATATGTATCTGATATTACTAGCTCACTCATCTTAATAACATTCTTTTGGTTCAAATGGTCCATTTACTTACCAGTTATAGTATTTTTAACTCAGCACTGATTTTCTTGGAAAACTGCTCAGATCAAGAGTGTTTTTATTTTTTTTCCATTTATTCTGAAATAAAGCTATTTTCCTTCTAACTCGCTGCTCTGAATTTGGTAGCCTTGCTTTCTTTCTTTTTTTACCTTTTTTTTCAGATACTATGCTCAAGTCACACTAAATATGCTTCCAAATTTGGACACCGAAAGAATGCTGCTCCCACTGGACCTTTACTATGCAATGTGCAGGGTTTTTTTTTTTTATCTCTCATACAGGTCTTTATACTAATTTTGCTGCAGTTAAATCTTTTTTGATTCCTTTTATACACTCTACTAGGGCATTTCACATTACCTCCAATTTTTTACTGTCTCTAAGGGACTGAACATCTGACAGAGGATCTATTTAATTTTTCAAACTATTCCACCCTAAGATGTAATGCTCTACTAAAACAGATTTTTTGGTTTGTTTTAAATTTTATATAGCTCATCAAAGGCCTAGAACAGAACTACTTGCCAGATGCTATGTAGCTCTTAGTGAGTATTTTATTAATAAATTACTAATGAACACATGTAATTTCTATAAACTAAAACTAATTTTTTTGCTGTGATCCATCATTTCTGTTGACAAATCTCTCCAATCTAATCCATGACCCACTTAAATTATAAACTTCAAGTAATTTTAAGTTTCATTTGTTTTTGATTATTTGCAACAATTTTTATTGATGTAACATTTTTCATTTTACAAGTTTCAAAAGTGCATTATTATAAATTAACATTTGTATACTCCACATTAAGTTCACCACTAAAAGTTTGATTGTATTCTTCAGCATCCAATATACCCAACAATTGTTCATCTTCTTCCCTTTAGGTTCCTTCAGAAAGCCATAGTGACTATCTGGATAGTTCAGTATGTGGGAGCATAGTAAATTATCTATTTTCAACAGCAGTTACTTCTTGGCCTTGTTTAATGCCTATAAACAAGGCCTATAAACAATGGCTTGTTTAATGCCTATAAGTGTCACAGGGAAAGCTGAAGCAGTGTCTTTCATAAAGCATCTGCTCAGTGCGTACTTGTTTTGTTGGACATTGCTTGAGTACTCCACTTATTACATTTCCACAGAGCCATATTCAAGTCTACCCCTCGCCTGTTCTGACTATGACATATCTCATCTTAGCATAAATTTAAAAAATTGCTTGCTGAATTACTGTATGGACTGAAAGCAGTAAAGAACTGAAAATCATTCCACATTTAGCTCAAGTATATTTATTTCAATATTGCACAGTAAGTTGCCCAATAAAAAAGGAACTTTCTAATGTTAATTACTCATGAGAACTTGAATCTTGATTTGGTTGTTTCGTGATCAGTGTAATGTGACATGCCAGGCAAGCGCCCTCCCTAACCACTATACCATCATCTCTCTGGTGCTTGGATTCTATTTTCTTCTGACTCTCCACCCCTCGCATCCCACAAAGGCAAAATAACAATTGGTGCAGCAGTACTAGGACCTTTAATCTTTGTTTCAAATATCTTTGTACAGAAAAATTGTCTGAACTCACATTTAGTGTACATTATTTGTTTGGGGGCCACTCTCCATAGTGCTCAGGGATCATTCCTGGTGGGGCTCAGAGGACCACATGTGCTGCTGGGGATGGAACCCAGGAAGACTGTGTGAAAGGAAAGTATCCTACCCACTA